TTGAAAAGCCTTTGTTTTGCTGTATTTTTCTATTGAATTGAAACATCAATACGACACCATTTATACTATATACACTAAAAATATTGATATGCTGGAACGAATTATATACTGAACACAAATCGATATACGTTATAATGATCATATCTTACAACAAATTAACATTAATAACAACACAAATGCGTACGATTATGGGAGAGATAAAGGATATCGAGATTCGAGAGGAGGAGATTATTATCGAGGCGGTTCAGGTTCATTTGAGATTAATCGTGGTACTTCGTATCGAGACAGAGATGAGCGTGGTAGAGACACAATTCGAGACGAGAATGTCCCACCTCGTGATTATTATCGAGGTAACGATAATCGTTCTCAGATTATTCGAGACGACCAAAGTGGAGGAGGCAAAAATAATTCTCAGACATCAGGCAGGGGAGGATATGGTAATACGGCAATTCGCGAAGATTCGCGAAATTCGATACGTGAAGAAGCATCTGATCGCGGTTCGGGTGGTATAGGAGATCGAACAAATTCTTCTGTAAGAGGAGAAGGAGATGATTCAAGTGTAGAGGATCCAAATGAACGACGTGATCGACTGAGTCCAATCAAAGACGAAGGATATGGTCATCTCCGCTGTAGCGTGCGATTTGATCGTTCACGCAGCAAATTGATTGTTCGAGTTCATGAAGCGAAAGATTTGATTAATACGGATAGAAATAGTTTGTCTGATCCGTATGTGCGCATCCTATTACTACCAGACAAACGAAAAAAAACAAAACGTCGAACAAAAGTCATCAAGGATTCGTTGCAACCAGTATGGGATGAAGCATTCGAATATGATTTAACATTGGAGGAAGCACGTATGAAAACGGTTGATTTAACAGTAAAAAATGATCGATCATTATTTAGCACGGAAAAGGTATTTATGGGACAAGCACTAATTACATTGGGTAATTTAAATTTAGATGATGAAAATTTAATTGATCAATGGTATACGTTGGAGCCCGAAGGAGCTTTAGCTCTTCGATTAAAAGGATTGGATGCTGAAAAGTAATTAATGCATAATAAATCATAATATGAAAAAAATTGACTTATTAAAAATTTCTATTTTGTCTGTGTTGATGGTTTGTAAGTGATATTTTATGTACGCGTCTAAATTGCTTTTTTTGGAATAATTTTTTACTCATTTTTATTACCAAGTTTTTTTGTTAGTCAAGATGAAGGTTTATCTTCGGGCTGATTTGCAGCTAAATAGAAGGAAACTGGATTGATATGCTAGCGCTTATATAACAGAAACAAAGACAGATTTTTTAAATCTTATTATTGATTATATTTCTTTAGTTTTTTCATACTCACTTTAAACTGTAGTTTAGTTATTGATTGAAAAGTAAATATAAATCATTTATTAACCACACTAAATTGAACAGAATTTGATCTCTTCACAAATTTGATTGACCATAATAAATGAAAAATTTGTCATAAAATATTACACTCTGCTTTTAGAACCTTAAAGTCAATTAGACAAAGGCTACTTGCTCTTTGAAAAGATCAATTAAACTGCATTGTGCACAAGCATGTCTGCATGAAAAGTTTTCTTTTAGCATGATTCGATTTTAAAACCAAAAGTTATACATGAATAGTTTTCTTATGTAACTGATATTTCTAGGAACCATAGTTGTACCCGTATTGTCTAATCAACCGACCATATTTGAGAAAGTCTATGGTTATCGACGACGTCCAGCTATCACTAGTTTAACAGCTCGTTGGGTACCATCGACACAAACTGCCGGTGTATACGAGTGGACCGGAGAATCTAACAAAAAATCAAAAACAATGACCTATTTTGGTACCGGAGAGATGCGTGGACAACTCATTTCCAGTCAGCCATCATCGTCGTCATCATACACGGATGCTTATTTATCAGCATTCGCACCAAAACACACACATAAAAAGCATCATCACTCATCGACAGTTGAAACATCTTCATTTTCTCTGAACAATAACCGTCCAGTTTCGTCCCCCGTAACAACACCACAAACACAAATAGAAAGTGTTTTAAAGAATAATTTTGAATACACATCGTCAAGACCAAGTAGTAGTGTCACATCACCACCTTTATACAAACAAGTGCATTTTGTAGAGCCAAATGTTTCATACTCAAGTGATTTTAAAACCCAACCTTCTACGTTCGGTGAGCGTCCAGTGTATTCGACGGATAATTCTTTCTCGTCATCAATAAAAGATAATTATGGTTCTATGACAAAAACAACATATCCTTCTTCGAAAACACCATATCCTTCTTCGAACAGTAATCAATCAACAGGTAATTTACCTCAATCGAAGTCTATGTATAACTATGAACCAATACCTCAATCCAATACGTATCTCTCCAGTTACTCCACATCTGTTCAACCTCCATCGTCTTCGAACTTGTCTAGTAATTATCAAACGTCATATCTCTCCACTTACAATAGTAGTCCGATATCATCACCGTCAACATTTCCAAAATATTCAACATCAACTTCATATGTATCACAATATCCGACTTCTAATTCCTATCTTAGCATATTCAAACCTCTACCAGCATATACTTCAAGAGATTATTCCTCACGTACAACTTATCCTTCTAACTACGAATCAACACCACCACTTCCACCGAGTAATATCAGCCGCTATGATAGTAGAATAAGTAGTAATATCAACGAAAATGATAGTAGAACTTACTCTCCCCACATTCCGACTAGTGCTTATAGTACAAACCTTTTTCAACATTCCACGCAACAAGCAACGATTTCCCCCAAAACAACAAGAATATACGAAAACATTGAACAACCAACTACAAGTTCGTACTTTCCTCAAGTTACCGTGTCCAATGTTTCACAAAACATATCAGATAGACCAGTTCACATTGACAATGAAAGTCCAAAAGCAGCCACACCACTTCTGGAATCTCCGACTCAAGATAAATTAGTAATGAAGCCTGAACAACTTGATATGGAAGAAACTGTCGATATTAATCAGACAGTATCAAAGCCAATTGAAATATTAGAAACTACGTTGAACAAATACGATAGTTTAATAGATCAAATTAGTGCAGTACTCGCAAGTGTGTCTCCAATTACTTCAACTATTAGTAGCATGAGTCCTGGAAAAAGTTTGCTCGATTACGAACTTTCATCCGATAGTTCACCCACAACAAGTAAGAAATCTTCTATGCAACAAAAACCAGACCAAGTTAAAACTCCCATAGATAGTGAAGATGAAATGGTGAAATCAGTAATATTTGTGGGTGATGAAGATCAACCAAGTAAACTTCAGAAAGAAAAGGATAGTTATCTTATCACCGGATCTTCCTATGACAAACTGGTTACAGCTATTTCAGCCATGGATAGTGAATTAAAAAATCGAGTATCAGAGCACACAGATGATGATGAAAAAGTAACTACATCACAGATATTTGATATTGGTGAGACAGATGAAGAATCATCGTCGGACAATAATAGAATTTCAACTGCAATTCATGATATGTCTGAGACAGATTATTCGGCCTTAGATCAACAACCTGTTCCAAACGATACTCCAGTACCTAAAGAAAAATCTACATTATCTGACACTGATTCGAAAGTAGATGACATTCAACAAGGCACAAGTAGTTTGGAAGAAATTTTATCACATGTATTAAGAACCGGTCCGAAAAAAGTACAAGCGATTTCGCAAGAAATACCATCACAACATGATGAGCAACTTCCAATTTCAACTGAAAAAACTGTCGAAGATGTATCTAGAACAGAAGTTGTCAAGGAACAAACTGATATTTTACCTGCAGTTCTTGAAGAAAAAATGGCCACGCTAGATACTCAATTACCAAATCTCTCTAAAGACAATGAAACAATCATCGAAACACCATTAGTAGCACAAAACATAATCCCACCGAATGATTTGGCATCACATAAAGAGGAAATTGTCACTACATCAGAGCCAATTGAAAAGAGCATTGATACTTATGAACCACAGATATTTCCTGATGACGGTAGACTAATCGATAACAACACTACAGCTGAAAATAAGTTCGAACCGGAGCACTTGACGGCAGAAATATCTAAGAAATCATCCGCTAATGAACAACAGATATTCGATGAACAGTCTCAACAAGTTGAACATCACAAGGAATCAAGTCATTCTACTGCCAACGACGAGAGTTTAACTGCCAAAAAAAGTCCAATAACGACTCAAACTTATGAAGCACCTGAAAGCAGTCCTGAAGTACAAACGACATTGGAAACTCAGCATCAAACTGTTCAAGAAACAGACACCACGCCGCAAACTCTGGAAGAAACAAGTCTTCCCGAAGTGTCGCGTCTGGATAGCGTGCATATTGAGAAAGAATTTCATCCTACTACTATAGATGTTTCTACTGGATTCTCTTCCACTTCTGAAAAAAATTTAGAAGAAACATCGCGTGATGCATCCGCAGATATCAAAATAGAACAAAACGATACGTTAAGCACTAACATCACAGAAACAAAGCAAAACGAAGAGCTGTTGAATAATGCTTTGAACTTAGAAACAATGCCACAATTAAATGATATAGATGTACAACCAATCGTACGACAAGAAGATGACAATTTCATTCAAACTGAAGAATTATCCAGTATTAGCGATCAAAAATCAATCAATAACAATTTAGAAGAAACATCGCGTGATGCATCCGCAGATATCAAAATAGAACAAAACGATACGTTAAGCACTAACATCACAGAAACAAAGCAAAACGAAGAGCTGTTGAATAATGCTTTGAACTTAGAAACAATGCCACAATTAAATGATATAGATGTACAACCAATCGTACGACAAGAAGATGACAATTTCATTCAAACTGAAGAATTATCCAGTATTAGCGATCAAAAATCAATCAATAACAATTTAGAAGAAACATCGCGTGATGCATCCGCAGATATCAAAATAGAACAAAACGATACGTTAAGCACTAACATCACAGAAACAAAGCAAAACGAAGAGCTGTTGAATAATGCTTTGAACTTAGAAACAATGCCACAATTAAATGATATAGATGTACAACCAATCGTACGACAAGAAGATGACAATTTCATTCAAACTGAAGAATTATCTAGCATTCGCGATCAAAAATCAGTCAATAACTTGTCCGTAATAATAGATGAAATACTTCATCAAGCAGTGGAGATAATATCACATGAAAATCAAAATTCTGACAAGAAATTCACCCCTGATGAAATATCTCAACTTGATACTAGCTCGTCTGATAAATTAATATTGGACAAATCATCTGCAGAAATAAGTCAAGACTTGACATATGCATCGGTTGAAAGTTTTCAACAAGCTCAAACTGAACAATCCAGCGGAGATCAAAAACCAGAAGAACAACAGCCTGCTTTTGTACCAGATAACGAAGAAGAGAGAAACAAACTGCCTGATATTGCTGCTAATGAAAGTCCCTATTCTCCACCCGCGACGGAAAGTGAACAACTACAAACAAATGAAACAGCCGTTGATACCATTCAGGATAAACCGACATCAACTGTACCAATCGAAGAGAATCTAGAACGAGGAATACTCAGTGAAGAAGATTCTTTTTATGATGTGCCATCTCAAAAGTCTGAGATGACCGTGACATCATCTTCCGAAATATTTACAGAACCAAAGGTTGAATATAGTATTACAGAAGAGAAAATAAATTTACCGCAAGTATCACAATTAACATTGAATAATTTTTCAGAAGAAGTAAGAAAATCTGAGTCAGCAGTTCCAGAGGTAATCCATACCGAAGATACTATCGGATCAAGTATAAATAATATTCAGTCAACGGAATCTGAGGTCCGAGAACATGAGATTAAAGAGGCAACAGGCACAAGAAGTAACGAAATAAACCTTCACGTAACAAGTCCTTTAGAAGAACTAAACCAAACAAGTCAGGTATCTACACGGTACCTAAGCAGCGATGTCTATTATGCTTATCTTGGAGATCATTACGAGCCTGATGTCGTGAACAAGATGACAGACGATGATAGTGCCACATTCGTGAGAGATGATACGGTAAGTGATGCTTACATTCTTCGTTGTTATAAATGTTGATCAGTTGTGCATCTAGATCCGGAGAAACTTTTCAGATTTTATTTGTAAAGCTTTATTCTGAAGAGTGGTTAAAAAATTCAATGTTTTTATAGAGAAAATGGTAAAGAGAATCTGAGATTTTTGGGACACCTGCATAAAATTTCCTTTACTTACAAAAACAAAAATATCTTAAAATGGATTAGTACATGTAAAAGCAGTACTTTTGTTTAGAAAGAGATTGCAGTGGATGTTGTTAACGGACCAAAAGAGACTCAGTCAACGGATGAAACACTTAAAACAGAAGTGTTGGTTTCTGAAGGTCATACTGCAGAGCAGCTACCTTTGGACAATAAAACCGAATCCGACACAATAAGAGAGCCAACTGTATTAGAAACCATCGCACAAACCGTTACTGCTCCATTTACTGCTATTAGTGAAACGGTGCAAAAAGTTGTTGCTAATCTTCAATCAAGTTCAGAAACTCAATCAATTACTGACAATATTCTGGAAGATTCGACAATCACCAAGTCAGATACCGAGTTAGAAGAGAAAAAAATACCATCACTGGACGAGCAGAATGAAAAAAATAGCGAGGCACAGGACGTCGAAAGTCAAAGTGATCAACACGGTTTTTTCGACACTGTTAAACACATAATTGCTTCTCCAGTTGTAGCCGTAACAGAAGTTGTACAAAATATAGTTTCCAGCATACAACACTCGTCCAACGCCGAACCAGACATCAACAAAGAACAATCATTCAATCAAGAAGATCAAATTAGTTCTTCGATTCCATCTACACAAAGTGAGGAAGATCAAAAGGTAGATCAATCCGAAGAATTACCAAAGTTGCATGGCTCTGATGCTGATGTGAGAACTGATCAACTGGAGCCTGATAGTGAGATTTCTTTACAAGAATCAACCATTCAACGCGACTTTATTCATGAGATACCATCAATCCCTGAATTAATTTCCACTAATCAAGACAATAAATTACAACAAGATCACCTCAGTGAGGATTCTTTGCCCAGACTCAACGAATCTTCACAACCTTTTCTATCAACTCTTGATGATGTATCCCAAATCCGCGAAGAATCACAACCGAAAGTAGAAGAAGTCTCCGCAGATCTGTACACTCAACAATTGCAAGAAAACAGCGTTAACAATCAGCCACCTTTATCGCAAGATTTAAGCGCAGATGAAGCAATTCAAATTAGTAGCCCTGTCATAGGCGAGAGTAGAAATGTGGTGTCAACTGAATCTCAAGTGGAAACAGCAAATGACAGTCCACTTGTATCTTCTGATGTACAGATACCATCCTCCAATCAACTGAACGAGGATATCGACATATCCTCCAATCGGTTTTTGGAGGATAATAAAACCATCGATCGTAAAGATACCGGTCAAGAGGAAACTCTCCTAACTATTCCATCAGAGTCTAATTTTGCTGATATCGAACAGACTATAGTATCGGAACAACATCAGACTACTGATTCAACAGCACATGCACCGCTTCTAGATACACATATTGAAAGTTCAAACTCTATCGACAATGAACAGCTGAAAAGCAGTGAAATTAACGGTACAATAGCTAAACGTGAAGAAAAACAAGCTGAACAATCGGTCGAAGGTTTTCAACCTTCTTCCGAAAGTACGAATAAAGCCATTATTGACGGTGAACCAGAACAACAGCCACAAATTCAAGTGCAAGAATCAACACATATTCAACAGTTGCTTGAAGAAATGGTTGACGTAATAAATAGCGTTAGTTCGAACAGTGAAAAATACGAGATTAAAAATTCAACTTCAGCCACAGTAGAACAAGTCGTTCCTCAGGCAAGTAGCCCATGTTTATTACCACACTAGTAAAAATATTTATTTGTTCCTTTCTACTTTCATAGGAAAACGACAAATCGATTGGTGAACAACCGATAACTGATACTTCATCAATTCTTGATCAAAAAACACCTGTCCTGAACGTAACTTCTGAAGAAACTGCATCATTGGACGCATTACCATCAATCTCTCAGGTTAGTAGACTCATGCAGGGTGATTTTAATATTACTAAAAGTAGAAAGTAATCGCTGCTGTTTGTTTGATAAAGGTGAAAACTGATAACAAATAACGAAATATTGTTTTAGCAAGTTAAATGCATAGATTCAGAATTACTTTTATATAATTATTTTTATTTCAGGAAAAACGAAACAATGAACTTAATCCTTCAGGTGAAAATTTTGAAGACCTGCACAATAAATATCTTGATTCATCTGTGAATATGACTTCAACACATCAAAATGATTACTCTCGAGAGTATTCGCCAGCGATAACAGAGACGGATACTTTTGATTTGTTAAATACTCTTAAAGGGCACAGTATCATGTTAAATTCAGGTCAAACGGGTTCGAATCAAGTTACGACTATTGATGATTTGAAAAAATTTGCTGAAATTTCATCAACCGATACATCAGATGACAAAAGTCCGCCTGTTGCACCCTTTACTGTTGATAGTGCAGTTCAAGCTGATTCAACAGAAAGATTATCGACTCGTATATCAAGTAGTAAAGTTATATCGTACGGTATACATGATTTATCTGATGCCGAATATGAAAAATTATCAGAAATGGATATTAAAAAAGATTTACCAGCACTGATTTATGACCAAACAACGACAGTTGAGCAACAACCGACAGAAGGTCAGAAAATAACAACAGACTCGGATCGTTCAAGCACAACAACAAGTGCATCTCAAATCACTAGCTCAGATCGTTACGTCTCTTACGCTATCCACGAACTGGGTGATTCATCGGTTGAACAGTTAAGTGCAGCGATTCCGATCAATGCTGATCTACCCATATTCAAAAATACAAATAGTGACACATCCGCTCAAGCTGATGCTCAAATAAAAGAACAAGATGTGTCAGACATGGTCAACTTACCCGTAATAGGACAACAACAGCCAGCACCGTCAAAAAATAAACATCAGCATCAGCACGATATGGACGATGCAACTGAGTTCGATGCAACAGAAAATATTACCTATTCTCCAAACGTGGATGATGAAAATTTAGCATCAGATCAAATAAAGAAAATATCAAAAAAACAGCACGGATCCAGCACAGATGAAGATGCTGATGAGGATATCATGGAAAATGTTGATAATAGTGAACAAAATTTAAGACAACAAGGACACGAAAATATTTATAGAATAGTTCGAGAAATTGCCAGTTATTCTCCAGATGAGGCCTACCGTCGTTATGATACATCGAGTAGAGATTCATCGTCGGCCCCGGCTCAAACAGACGATGTATTTTTAATTCCTGGATTTCCAGGTCTATGGCGAGGTCCTGACAAAGATAGCAGTACCCAAGAAGAGCAATCATCATTTGACGACGATGCTGATGATGAAAAGTACAGCATGGACGATCTTAGAGATGATACTCGGAAAAAGACGACAATAAAAACAAAGGTATTTATTAAAGAAATTTGTATTTGTATACTTCAAGTATAGTCATTGTATTTCAGACTATTGTGCGAACAGCTGATCCAAGTAAATTTCAAAGTCTATTCCATCAAGAAGGCGAACTGAATATTCCATTGAGACCTGTACAACATACAACGGAAGCTTTTGATATATTTAATCGACCGTTGAACGATTTTGCATTTGATCCCTGTTCTGAATCGGATAGTTTTAAAACCGCTCTCGAAACTGAAGCATCACAAATGTCATCACGTGCACAAGCATTATTAGAAGCCGAAGAACAAAGAGATTATATTCATCTAACAAATGACGTTTCTGATCGAACAAGTTCACCAGTTATCATACGTGGCGAACGAGGTGTAAGTTTACCTGTTGCAACGAATATTTCCTATGACGATCTTGATTTTCGTCTCTCAACATCGTCTCCTATTGAAACACCTTCCTATTCGGAAACAAATAAAGTAAATTCTCTGTTCCTATCAAATACACAAGTGAATGACGTGAGCAATACTGGAGCGATTAGTGACGATAATAATGCATTAAAATCGACTATACACGAATCATCACCATACAGTGAAATTCAAACCACATCCAGTGGTGGTAGTTCAAAAAGTTTGAGTAGTGGTGATGAACAACGAATATATGAAAAACGACCATGGTGGAAAGCAGTAAATACGGAAGATGAATCATCTGCTGCTGCCGGACGTGAGTAAAATGTTTTTAATTCATACTAACTTTGTTCGAGAAAAATGGGGAGTCGGTTACATATAAAAGTGTATGAAAATACATGACGAAGTTAACTGATAATCTGTGACGGTAAGTTAGTTTTCTATGACTGAAAAGCAAGCAGAAAAACCTAATAGGACTTAATGTTACGATTATGTATAATATACAAATTATCAATTTTTGGCCATTTAACACATCGGGTCAAATATCAGATATAAAGTCTAATTTGTTTCGCGATATATATATATATAACAGTTGCATATTTTTATTATAGTTCACTCCTCAACTGTCTTTTCTCTGTATCGTTTTATTCGTTTGTTCATGTGTCTCTTTCATATTTTTAAATGCACATTAATAAAATTCTCAAGTTTCTCTTACAAAATATAAATGTTTTTCTTCAAATCGAGGTATTCATTTCGTTTTTTTCTCTCAGTTTTTTATGGCATATGTCTTTAGTTATAGATGAATGTTCAAGTACCGTATATCTTACACACGAGTTAAAACTATCAATGACAATAATTTATCAGCAATATGTTTTATGCATTATGACCTCTTGATGTGGACTTAGACAGAGAGAGAGAGAGAAAGAAAGAAAAAAATAGTTCGTCCAATCCTAATGAACGATCTATGGACAAAAACTATGTATTTTCTTCTTTGATTATATAATTAGAATCCTTTTTTTTCTATTTTTGTTCTCTATTGGCTGTTATCTGTATTATTGTCATAAAATTAGTTTGCCATATAATATGATTATTCTAATTTTTCGTTTTTTTTTTTTTTTTTTTATATCAAAGTTATAAACCACAATATTGTGGCTTTTTATTCTTTTTCTTCTTCTTTATCAACCTTCGCATTTTACATTAAAGATCGCGGTGTGCACAACAGAAAAAAATATTTAAGGGCTATGCAATAGAACAAAATTTTATTTTATAAGACCACCTCAAGTACCTAACAACCAAAATAACATTTTCGGTTTTCGAGTGTGTGTGTGTATATCGTATCCTGCAAATATTGTCTGCCTATACAGTTTCTTCTCTTGTTCTTATGGAATAAAACTTTAAAAAGTAAAAAACGTTCTATATGGTATATAGGCTAAATATTCGTTTTCTACAACAAAAGAAGAATAAGAAAAAAATTCAAGAGAAAAAAAAAAATGAAAACAACAATTTGTTATATATATTCGTCGTTTTGTAAACTTATTCTTCAAACTTTACACTCTTCATCCGCTCTTATAAAACCTTGAACCATTTCTTTTTTAATTGTGCACCCAGAAAAATGGCAGCAACTGCTACAATAACAACACCATTTTTGTTTAAACCTCGAACTGCTGTTTTTGAACATCCCGTAACGTATGATATTGAACAAAAAGCGAAACATATTGATCTCGAACAGTATTATATCAGTAAGTTTCTGAAATGATATCGGTGAAAAAAATTAATTAATTCATAGAGAACCAATCGTTAATACTCTTTAAATATTTAAATGTAAACAGTAGTTACGAATTTTGAAGATTAATTATGGAAATATTGAGAAATTTAAATATTCTCACAAAGATCTGTATAAGATAAAAAGATTTTTAATAAATTTTTTTTAAGAGAAATATGTTTTTTTACGAATGAAAACGGTTAAAATTTAAATAAATAAGATTTAACGACGAAGTGCCATAAAAATTGATCAAAATATTTCGAAAATAATATTCTATTTTTTATTTCAGCACTTGAATCAAGAACAACTATACAAAAATGTGCTAAAGGTCCTGTTTGTATTAATGAATGTGATAACCAAGGGTCTTACATTACAATCGAGAATACCAGTCGTTCAAAGGTATGATAATAGAATATTGACTTCTTGTTCGTTTTATGCAACTCTTTTTTTTTTTTTTTGTTTTCTACCTTATCATATCTGTCATAAAAGATTATTTCTTAAACAAAATTCTATCATTTGGTTATTTTTAGAGTATTGCATTATCTGGTTGGAGTATACGTCAAGAAGGTGAAAATGAAACGACAATATTTTTATTTCCTGAAAATTGTGTTTTAAAACCAAATTATTCCTTAAAGGTTACTAGTAGTAAAGACTAATTTATATATACACTTTGAAAATATTTATATTTTAATTTACAGATCTATTCGGAGTCAAATAAAAAAGAACAGAAAAATGGTGACCTTGTCGCCTTATCTGTACCTTCTTGGCAAACTGGTTCAAACTTTGTCACAAAATTGGTTAATACAGATGGCAAGGTATAGATTAAAAAAACAAATTATTATTTAATTTTGAATAACACTTCATCATATATATCTATATGAGAAAATTTGTATGAATAGATTGATAAATTAGACACCTATGGATGAATTCATTTAACATCTAAAAACTTATACTATTTATTTTAGGATCGTGCAACCTTGACAAAAAAAACTTTATTCTCCTGATAGAATCTACTGTTAGTATTTATATTTATCCGAATGAACTAATAACTATTTTTTATTAATCGATTTTTATCATTGAACAGTGTTATCAAAAGTTAATTTTATTATTTAACATTTGTATATAAACAATACTCTCGTTAAACGTTTACGCTCGGTGATTATCATACACATACTCGTAAAATTCACTCGTAACCGTTTTATTATCGTTTCTCTAAGAATGAGTAAAATAACGATATAATTGTTTAAACTACAAGTATTGATTTAAAATGGATCATTTTTGTGTTATTAGCAAGGATGTATTCATCAAATAATTTTTTATTGACGATAAATCATCATTTCTCTAGACTTCGTATTTATATGCTTTAATGAAGCAAAAAACTGTCATTTTCATTATTTGAAACGAGACGATGTTTCAAAATATTTGAATAATAAAAATAATGCGAATTGTACTTTTTCTGAGAATAATTTTCGTTATTATCGTTATTATAGATAGCTGTTAAACTCGAGAGTGATATTTTTGACGTTTTTATGTTTCTATTCATATTAAGCGTATAATTGCTTTAAAAATAGAAATTTTTTTTCATTTTTTAGTTTGTTTGTGGAATCCTTATTTAAAAAAATTGTATACACAAGCAGCAACATTAAAATTGAGATGTATTCTTAATTAACATTCCTGCTGTTTATTATGAAACTGGATTTAATCACTCATATATGTTAACAACTTCTCATTCTACCAATTAGCCGAATAAAATCTATATCGTTACGAGAAAGTATTTCCATAAAATCGAGAATTTTAAACTGTATGAGCGTTACATTATCTTAGCAATACATCTTGGATGCAATTTTAAAAAAAGGAATTTCGGTCGCTTCATTATTGAAAAATCTATTGACCACTGAATATCTCTGATGAAAAGAACATTTTCGAGAAAAGATGACATCAATGTGTTATGTATTTTAGAGTTCTTCTAAAAGTTTAATAACGCTGGAAACGACTCGTACTCTCATTCTGATTAGAAAAAGGCTTTCTCTATAAGGTTACGTTATTTAAATTGAATCATTTACTCTAAACTCAATAAAATACGAGAGCTCTTAAAAAGTAGAAACAATTACCGTACTTTTAGGATCTAGACTAAATGAATAGACATTAATGAAAAACCATGCTTGTGTTGACACTTCTATGACAGATATAACCGATTGTCTCTCAAGTACAATAGTTGACATTAAATATGTTGATTATCAATTTATTTTTGTCGCATAGTTAGAGAATGTTACAGTAGACACGAATAGGTTTACTTATTCGCGATCTGATGTTTAATTATTCTACAAATTTTGATGAAGAAAAATACGTTTAAAATATACTGTATTCATTATATATGCTCAATATTCGTTAAAAACACTTTTTTCCCCAATTTTCACATTTGGATAGAGTTCAAGATTCTGAACAACTTTGCTATTTTGCACAGTAATCAAGCACGGCATCTGAGAGACGATGAAAGTTTTTTTTGGTCTATCCGTATGATTTACATGAGATTATCATAATTGAAGAAAATGACTGTTTTCTTTTTATTTTCGTCATTTCGAATTAACTAATTAAGGTCACGTCCAAATAACTGACAATTCATACCGGAGATAGAGCCAACTGCTATAATTTTGAATTAGTTTTTTCATACTTTCTCGTTGAAACTGAGTTGTTTAAGTCCAACTATTTTTGCTGTTGTTACCATAATCACCCCAAAATTTGGGAATTATGATAATTCTAAACATACTCACTGGAAATTGATTGGAACTAATAAATGCTAATAAACTTTTGGAAAAATGTTACACTAGTCGACAGCTGAGAATCAGATCTGTCTACCTGTACAATATCGGCTTTTTTCGATAAAAAATGACTTATCTGTGCAAAAATTAGTTGAGAAATTGCAAGCAGTTATCATAATGATCACATATGACTCTAACAAAAGCTCGCATAAAAGTTGCATTGTATTAATCGAAAGCTATAATTTGGATTATCTTATTTATTAACGAGACGCACGATGTTAGTTTGGATCGGAATGTCTGTAATAAAAATATTTTTCTCTTTAGTCTATATGAGTCCCAGTCTATACACAGTTTTAGGTTTTCTATTTGTCTATATCTCTGCTTATATGGTTATTTTGTTCGTTTCTATTATCGATATCGAATATTATATACCTGGTTATTTAAATAAATAATCACGCTCAAAGCACTTAGTGGAAATTCAGCTAACTGAAACTTTTAAATAATATTATACAGATATATCAGTTAACAGCAATATTGTCCTCATCATCAGACTCATCTGTCTCTTCTGCATAAAGTCTTTTATAATTGAATAGTAATACAGCTATTCCTGTAAATACAAAAACTAACATCATTATCATCATAATTCGAGGACCATAGTGCTTATATGCAAATCCAACAACGATTGGCCCAAATGCTCTTGCAAAAGCACCGGCAGCATTCAACCAGCCCATCATTGTACCCTATAAAGAAGATATTAAGATTATATTACTACATTTGCATACATTGTTTTTACTTGTGGTCTATTTTGTAATATTTTTGAAAACAATGCAAACGATATCACATTACATATCGAAAATCCAATAGTTATAATAATAGCGGATAAAATAAATTGCCATAATTGCACTCTTGGTACTGAATAACACCAATGATAATCCATCGGACAACCTTTTTCTTCTGAACTACCAGTGGTTGAAGGCACAGCTGGAGAAGAATTAACACTCAGCTCGGGTGTATAAGCTTCATAAAAAAAGTTTTTAGCATTGGCTTACAACATTTAACATTACTTTTTTAACTTACTGCCTATCTGAATTGATGGATAATCAGTACCCCATGGTAAAAATGTGAAATAACCGATAAAAGATATGGTCAAACCAATAGACATCAACAGACGTTCGGAAAGTCTAAACTCAAAAAAAGATGACAGTCGACGTAATTAATCGAGATCAAATTGTTATAAATTTCACCTCTTGGCCATAAATTTTGTGACAATCAAAACAATAACTGAGAGACCACCTAGTCCACCTAAAATATAGCCATTGTACGTGGTGCTTTGTTCTTTCGACCATGAATACATATCAATAGACAGTGGCGAAGCAATCCTACAAACTATTGAAGAACCATTCTGAACTATCTTGATTCTAAGAAGATTTATTTAACATACGTTTCGTAATTTGTAAATACCAGATATGTAATAAAAAATAAATATAAACAACAAAATATTGCTAATGTGCTTTCTCGACGCTCTCTATCATCATAAACTCCTAGGAATAGAAGCACAGTAGAACCGTAAAATAAAGTTTATAAGGAAAGGTTTACTGTCGTTTTGTATAGTTCCTCTCTTAGATGTAGTAATTTGTATATCACCAAATGCAACTATGAATAAAACTAAATTGACCCCAGCTACAATTATACTGAAAAATGCTGGTGCCGTATATATATTGACGTATAGCTATAGAATAACAAAATTGCATTAAAGTCATACACTATTGTGAATTGTAGCTAGTTTTACCCATGGCTTTTGTATTGGACCAGGATAACCAAGAAAGCCAAAAAGAGCTTGTATTACTGAAACAGAAAATTTATATTAAAGAAAAATAATAATAAAATCAAGTAAAAATCGCCTACATGGTCCCAATATGAAACCGATTCCTTGAAATGCTGATAAATTAGCCATTACACTCATTCGTTCTGTAACAGTTGTAGCTTGGGAGCAATATGATCGCATAACGGACGAATTAGCTAGAGAATTTTAAGAATTTTCATATAATGTAAGAGTATTATCATTATTATCATTAATTTTGTACCTGCACCAACTCCCATCACAAATCTTGCTATCATTAGCCACCACTTGCTTGAAAATCCAATATGAATTCCTTGAATGTACGCATAGAGTATGTTGGCTACAACAATCATTGATGTGCTAATGCATAATGGAGCTTTATTTGAATTAAGTTTAGTTGCAAAATAACCGAATAATGGTGAACCAATCAATTGACCGACACTAAACGATGCTACTAGCCAGCCTAGAAACGTAGCTTCAGCCGTTCTGTCTACCTTAAATAAATAATTGACTCGATGAGAGCGTTACAACTATTTTCATACTTACAACAAGTAAGAATGACCAGAGAGACGGTACTGTAATTGAAAATGCAATTGAACTGACAAATATACCAAAATAACATATACGAATGCCAAGAAAACGTTGTTTGCTTGAGGCAGTATTGATAGCTGTTGATGTACGTCTTCGATATCTAGAATATGTAACACTGATCGTAGTTACTTGAAAAATCAATAGTTAGACCAGTATTACGATTGAGTGTTTAATAGACTCGAATCTGTTGTATTCAGTAATGGATCTCGTTCTGAATTTTCAAAATGGACACTTGGATTAGTCATCCTGCAAGAAAGAAGCAAACAATAGAAATAATATGTAAGAAAATTAGAACTGATAATTAAACAATTTAAATTGATCAATTTGAAATAGTGTTGTATTTAACTACATCTGTTATTGAGCACTCTCTTATACTTTCTGTGTTGTTCTCAGAAATTCAAATATATTTCGATGACTCCGCACCCTCAAATTTTTCAATTTAATAAATTTAAAATTATAATTTCGTTATGCTATTTTATTGAAATTATTAATACATAGTTAAAACGATATTGTTGACTCAGAAGAAAAAAGAGAAGAAAAAAAAATTCTAAAAATAGAGATTTTATAATACGAATAAATTCTGTATCTACTAGATTTATAACTCTTAATATAAGAATACAGACTATACATGTATCCATGTATGTGTCATAAATATCCAGTATATATACATGTTAGTATGTATTAATGAATAGGTTGCGGCATTTGCTTATTCCTCATTGTGTCTGTATCCAGTTGAAAACCGTCTTTACAACATCTGATGTTTTCTGAAAGAATCTCTTAATAAGATCATATATTATCTTGTAACATCTGATTACATCATCTTACAATACTAGTGTGTCAAAATTTGATAAAAACTTTTATACGAGAGATTATACGATAATTAGTCATATAACGTTGTATGATTTTGAATATTCTTACAGCAGTTATTGATGTATTATGCTTAAATTTCTTGTCATTACATTTAACAATATCGTATAAGAACATCGTTCTTAGGAATAAACTTTAAAATTTTCATCATCAGTTGAGCAAAACGAACGTATAAGGGTTAGGAATGTGACTAAACACGATTCCAGAATCCTAAAAGCCTATCTATGTTAGAAAAATATCAAAAAAGAAAAAACAGGAGAGATAGATAGTAGAGCTCTGTATGGACTTCGTCCATGAAAAACAGTTCTTTCAGTCCATGGACTCTAAAAAAGTCGTCCATTCTAGTTCACAATACAAAAACAATATATTTTTCACTGATTATTCCTCGCTTCGGGTGAATCCAAAACTTTTTTCGAGTCCAGATCAGTTCATGATCTTCAAAGTTTGAGTCCAGTCTAATCCGAGCCCATGAGCTCGAAAAATTATCAGTCCAGTCCGTCCATGTAGAGCTCTGATAAATAGTGGAGATTAATAGTAAAAAGCGTGCATATCAGTTTAAATGTTCAAATGAGATTCTTATAGGTCTTATGAATTCTTGTATGATCTTGTGAATCTTTTGCAAATTCATAGAAGTTCTTACTACAAAATTTCGTAAGATCTTGTTGCAAGAAAAATTTTGTGAAATCTATACAAGAAGCTGGCAGATATGTGTGTATATTTATGAATGTTTCCTACTTGTGGATGCTGATGTGTGTGTGTATGTCGAATAAGAGTGAGCTAGTGTTGTTTGACGCGTTTGTAGGATACCCAGCATGCATTCATAAACATAAACACATATATGACGAGTGAAATACATGTGTTTACACATAGGTCACGTTTGAAGATAGTTAAGATGAATACATTCACTATCCATATTAATAATAATTAAACATTCAAAAGTACTAAAAAATCTGGCTATTACCTTATTATTGTAATTGGTTATTTTCTCTCTATGCAAACAACAAAATCATATTTAAATTTAGCTAAGCGTGTGCTTTATGTAGCGACAAAAAAATATTCTCATTTAAAAATGTACTAACAGTAAGGATGCAAAAATATACTATTCTTATCTCTCTTTATGTCCCACCTCTGAAGAGATGTCGAAAACAAATAATAAGAATGTGCGTAAACTTTGATATTGTTTGTATTCAAAGTCTCTCACAATTAAAGAGTAGTGAACATATTCCTGCAAATATAATAACGATTCTTATCTACATAATGTTGGTCATGTTTCTAAATCAACATTAGAATTAAACTACATAATAACATCATACATTGTTACATATAGTATTAAACTATTCAATAGATAGCTAATGGAACGTCAGCACCATATCAGATCATAATAGAATTTAAAGCTCTGAAATGATCAATTCTGGTATCTAACCGATGAACTACAAATATGTAACTGTTTTAATATAAAATTTGGAATATGTGCCAAGCAAAACAATTCTTGGATGTTGTGTTTTTAACATATTATCGGTGAGATATTTTTTATATAAAAACTCCCAACGAGATTGTGTCTTCCTTATCGAGGTCACTGTGATGTATTAAATTTTATTATTTATTTTCGGTTTTTTAGGTTTATTAGTAGCTGTTTTTACGGATTTTTTCATATTACTGTATTTCTAATGTGTTTTTGGACCAATCCTCCAGTAACATAGTGCGTAGGATTAATTCTTCTACGACGTTCTAGTTCCCACAAGTTCGGCTGTTGTCTGTATAAACATGAATTTTTTGCTATGATTCGTTTGTACAGGCGACTGAGCTAAAAACGAAATAATCAAAGACTTGAGCTTATTTGATTGAAATATTGTTTAAATGAAATAGTTCATCCTTCCTTATTTGATAAACGATTTACACTATTGGCTCAGTTGTCGTGACGGGGGGGGGGGGGGGGGGGGGGGGGGGGGGGGGGGGGGGGGGGGGGGGGGG